AATACGGGCTCTACCATGTATGGGAAGCATTTCACGTAACAGCACTGGTGATTGGCAACTGGCATCTTCTGTACCAAGCACTTTCAAACAGGGGTAGAAAAAAGGGCCCCAAGACAAGTCATGACATGGAGCCTGCATGCTGCTTCCTCTCTCCTGATGGCCAAATGGAGCACAGGAGAGCGAAAGAGTGCGTGGAGATGGGAGACGGCAGCATTTAATTGGACCTGTTGGTGTGCACTGCATGGGAAAAGCACAAATAAACTTTCAAGTGTAAGTAAAGCCCAAAGCGGGTTTTTTTGATGGTTTAGATAGGGTATTCAAGGAAAGGATTAAAAAAAAAACCCTATCACTTGATTTCTTGCTGTCACTTCCTGTACCAGAGATGCAACAGGAAATTGTCACCAGAAGAAGCATGCCCATTGGATGATTCACCCTTACTACGTTGTACTTGTTGTGGTGACAATTGCAAACTTTTGAGTTTGTCTTTTATTTGTCACAAGGACAAATAAAGAGGGTAAATCTACCTTATGGGGACACTCATTCCTCACTCTTTCCTGAACTAAAGAAAAAAGCCTGGCTATACATAGACAATAATGAAGTCTTGAATCCCAGACTTGCATGGAAGGAATACATCCTTCTGATTTTGAAATTTCTTAATTAAAGGTTCGGTGTTCTGGTGTAAACATGCGTTATAAAGGGAAAGCGCCAATAATTGCAGAAAACGTATTCTGCATTTGTGTGTTAATGTATTTCAAAATCATTTCCCCAAAATAAATTCTTCTCACCCTCATACAGATCCAGCATAGATACCTCTTCACCGCAAAGGCCATCTGCATAGTTTTTATATTATTGTTTCATATGAATACTGCCTTTATATGCCATTGGCAGCTGTTATATTTAAGCATTACTCGATATTTGCTTTTTTTATCATTAACATAACAATGACGATCCTCATTCCAGATATAATGTTTTGGAGAAAGCTGTCTAAATCCATTAATTCAAATATAACACCTTCACGATGAATGTGTATTGAAATGGCAGTTTTGTGGTTACCGGCGCACATTATATTATGAATGGTAATTAGGCTACGGGCCTGAACCGCTTTTGAAATGCTTCATATTGTGCCCGTATCACCCTCCTACTGCACGTGCTTTTTATTAAGCTATACAGTACAAGACTGTGCTGTGCCAAAGGCTAGCCTTCTGCAAGATATTTCGACTGGTAGTATTGTTTAACTACCTGACACCGCTGTCATACTCAATTAGGTGAGAAAAAAAGAACTTTTGATAGAGCTTACTAAGTACCATACCTTTCATATTTATGTAGCAGCTGTTTTGAAATTTTGATACACAATGGTGGCCAAGTCCGAGAACATTCATTTGAGTATCACTCATCATAAAATTACCCTGATTTATCATTGTGTGTCAAATAAGAACTGCCTTTGTTGTCCAATTACATTCAAATGATTAGCCAGCTGTCTTTTTCTAGTGCCAGTTAAATGTGATTAGTTGCCATGGGGGCTGCAATTTTTACTTAACAACTGTTGATAAATGATTCCCTTAGAGAAGTATTGAAACACGCCACAATTATGAACAGTTAATCCCGGTGTTAAAGTAGATGTAAATAGTACAGCAATGTGACAAGATGTGTGTGCATCAATAAAATGATCACTGCTTGAAGACTGAACCATGGTGTACTGGTGTCATACTTTACTATTTGGATCTGAAACTGTGCTATGCGGAGTCACTACAGCACCCACCACAATGGACCGACCAGTAAGGAGTGTGATAGGACTTTTCTGCATTAAAGTAGATGTAAACCCATTACTGGATGGCATTTAGATTGCTACAACACTGCTAAACAGTTTGTTTTTAATAAAATACTACCTTTGTATCCTTAGTTGAATCACAGGGCTGCTGGTCTCTTGCTGCCTCTCTTGTAGCCACTTCCTGTCTACATGTACTTGATTACATGGTAACAACAGAGGGCCATGGTTGTGTAATGTGTGTTGAAACAGTCCCTTGTAGTCTCCATTGGGAATACTTGTGATAACATGACAAGGCAGGAGAACCATTAAGAGACAGGGACAGAGTGTTGTCACCCTAGAACAGGCAATGCCTAAACAAATGCCCTAATGGCAGTATCACCAAGTATTATACTAATGGAAGTTGCAGATGCGAAAATATTGAGAATTACTTTAGAAATTGCACTATTATGTTTAAGCTTATATGAGATTTTAAGTGATTGGGTTTGCATCCCAATGTGTGTGCAACACGCACATTGGTCATTGGTTGCTAGAATGCTAGTGGCATCATAGGATGCAGATGGGGGCACCATAATAACCAATGACGCTGTGAGGCCGCCATCATCTCGGCAACCAATGGCGCTGTGTGGCCTGCACTACATAATTGGTTGCTGGGATACTGGTGGCCCCACATACTTGTGGGTTGTTATGGTTTGCCAGCCTGCATCCTAGCAACTAATGACACTGTGCAGCTTAGCCACCAATCAACCAATGACACTGTACCAACTGCCCAGCATCATTGGTGACTAGGGCACAGAGAACGGTTCAACAGGCAGGCAAACTGGACAAACTGTTTGCTGTTTGGCAAACTATGAACAACTCGGTTTTGGGTCGAACTCATAGTCAAGCCAAAACCAATGCTCAGCTGTACTGATCTGCCTGAAGGCCTAGGTATTGGTCACATGATCTTTGCTGAAATTAGAAAGTTTGCAATCTGAATTCTGAGCCTGCCATACAACAGAGATATCATGACCGTGTGCCTAGGCCTTCAGACATGGTGGACAGCAGGGTAGCTGATACATCTGTCTGTCAAATGAGGAAAGGGCCACAGTGTTCTATGCAGGGATGTGCTCTGCTACTTATGCAAACATAGGGGAGGGGTAGAAAGCCTCTGAGCTGTGCAGCTTGCAGAGCTCAAAAGGTCATAGACAATCCTAAGTCCTATTGTTATACCTGCACAACAGCTGGAAATCGTATTGACAAACAAGACTGTATAATTTTGAATTATGAATTCCTGCAATAAAAAGAGATAAATTAGTTCTTCTTTAAAATAAATGTGTCATGAGGGAGATACGAGAGAGAGAGAGGTCATTGTGGACCTCCTTCTGAAAATGCTAGCTACCTGGCATCAATACTTTGAGCCACTGAAGATCAGGAAAGTCAGACTAAAGAAGCCAGATGTCCTTATCTTCATACTTGATCTGGGTCAGTGGCCAAACTCATTACAGCAAGGGAGTCATCTTGACAGCTAAGCAATTAGTGTTTTCAAAAGAAGACATCAGCAATGCCAGTCTCCATGTTTCTCTTTTGACAGGTCTCCTCTAAAGTGCAAATCTAAGCTATGTAGACTGTGAGTGTTATCAAGGCACTGCCAAGCTAAGGCTTTGCCATGGAAATTTGCTCAGTACATGGACATCCATACGTACCCGAAATGAGCATGAATGTTTATGGATCCATCTGGAACAAAATACTGGGCGGTCAGATCATAAACAGATGTCTGGCTGCCGTCTAATGTCCATCATAACACATTTGAAGATAAGAGGTTTCTTTCTTCATAGCAGTCACAAGTCATTTCTTCCCTCTCGTGAGAATCTACAATGTGATGAGTGTAAGAGCATTTGAGACAAAAGGTGTTATTGCTTAGGGTGTTAATAAAATGTCCTGAGATGTATGGAAAAGACATATCTTATCATTCACGGGTCAGTAGAAAACATCTCAGGAAAAATGTTCTTAGAAAAGAAACCTTTGTGGGCTTGGCACGTGGCACACATCAATGTGACTTTACTGTAAAAAGTTTATGGGACTTTCTGCACAGAGCACAAAGTGTGGGGGATTTTGCAAGTTTACTCAAGCAGCTTTTCTGTCCAGAGCTCATAAAGAACTTTCTGACCTCTGGAAAGACATGCCGCCATGCCGACTGCGATAATGTTCAGCTTATTGCCTTATTTTATTCCCCCATTACATTTTGTTTTATTAAAAACAGCCTTATGTGTGGTTTTCATTAATCGGTTACTATTTCAGTTTGTTTTAAACTCACACAATAAAAATCTCCACTCTGATTGAAAGACAGAGGGATTTCATTGGCGCAATGCATATTTTGAATACGTATACTCGCTATGTTAGCATAATCAGAGAGCATATGCGCATGGTACATTGATATTGTATGTATAGAGCCATCTCAGTTTGTTTTTTACTGTAGGAGTTGCATTGTAGGTAGGGATGAACTCGGATTAGGACCGAACGTGAGTTTATTGCAACTCAAAAACAAAGAGTCGGGAAGATGGTGACATTATTAACCTTGTATGGCTACATGGCCATATTAAGTCAATTACATTGTGGCCATAAAAGGCAATGATGTCACCAGCATCCCAACCCTTTGTTTATGTGCACCTGTAGGGCAGTCAATGTCCTGGCCACAGCTGATTCGGCTAGCACTGACAGCTTCTTCCTGGATTTGGATAATTTCAAGTTCGGACTGAACCCGAGCTCATCCCTAATTGTAAGTGAAAGACAGTGGCTGCTCCACAGACATAGTAGCTCATATGGCCCATATTGGGTTGGGAAAAAGGCAGCCACGGAGTAGAAACGTCTGTCCTAAACATGCTGCATAGAAGGACCCTTGGTCTCTGTGTGGAAGAAGTGGTCTCTCTGCAAAGGTCTGTCACACCTTCTGCTGTGTCAGAACTAGAGATCTCCAAACAGCCAGAAGTACAAACTCTCTGACACAGCATAAGGTATGTCAAACCCCTACACAGAGAGCTTGGGTCATTTTCTGCAGCATGCTAGCAGGGGACAGGCTTTTATACTCTGGCTGTGGCTGCTTTCTAAAGACAGTTAACTGTAGGACTTTGAACATTTTTGGTTTTGATGCACCAGGATTGTGTTTAGCTGATTTACCCTGAAAGTTCAGTTGTGTTTTAACTTTCATCCTATACAGTTGGCAAAATTGACTGACTGTAACTCTGGTTTGTTTCAGATACTGTGGAATCAGGACCAAGCAAGTGCCAAAGGTGAGTGTCGTGGACTGAAGTGGGATTCATGTTTGGTGTTTATTTTTTCTTGGTGTACAAAATGACCTTATTTATGTCTGTCAGTAATTGAAGTGGAACATCACAAAGTGCATCTCTATTGATGAAGGCAAAGTGAGTGCAGGATGTAAATAAAATAAGCCCCTTTCTCAAGGGGTGGTCTCCCCTTGGACTTCTGTAGAATCAACATTTAGTAAGGGGGCTTTAATACTGGAGATCGGGGACTGTATTTGTGAGATCTATGGATTCCCTGGTCTTCAAACCTGTTTTGGCCAACTCTACCTCTTTTTTTTTCTATAATGGTGAATGCAGCAGGGATCCACTGGATGCAGAGCTGGGTGGTAACTCCCAAAACTCCCAGGTGGACAGGAACTGAATTATGGCAGCGAGATCTTGTCTGCTGTAGTGTCAAAGACAAATAGCAAGGCAAGGAATGACTTAGCCAATGACTTAGCCCCCTAGGCTTCATTCATACCTAACAATACCAGCTTATATTTTAAGGTATAGTATAGTATTTTTCAATAAAACATTTTAAAACAACCCCATTTAACAAAAAAAATTACATTCTGTAAACACATAGTCCTTCTGGAAAGTTATATTTTTATTTATTTTCTCTGGATGTTCCAGTTTTATTTCTCGTCTAAAATCATACTGGAAGGCTGTTATGCTTGTATGACTGTAGGATGGACATAGAGTTAGACCATGGATTATAATTTTCCTTGGATACGGGACCAGTGTAAACGATTCAGCATTTTTTGTACAGTTCTGCAGAATAGGGAGGTAATATATATATACTATATACAGGGCTCAAAATTTCCACTCGCCCCCTTGAAAATTGCGTGGGGTCGAGTGGAAATGAAGCCATTGAGCCAGGCACTCCTCGGGGCGGCTTCTCTCCTCCTCACCGACATGATGACAGCGCTCCCTCGTCCGTCCGGGGGTCGCAGGACGGAGTGCTGCCTGCTGTCAGGATGTCCGAGCGGTGAGAGGGAGAGAAGCTGCGCACGCAGCTGTCATATATATATATATACTGTATATGGGCTCACTATCTTTACTATTGCGTTAACCCTTTGGCTGCCAGCGCCGTAAGGCTTACGGCCACATCAGTAAGCCTTACTTAGGTGGCTTTCCCCCTTTTGCTATAAGCTCATGGTCGCCGATGGTCCCCTGTTAAATAATAGCTGTCATCAGTGGCTGACATATGTATGCATTTGTTTTTGTTTTTCCTAAAAGGTGGACTTTTGCTTTAAAGCAGCATTCACTGCAAGACTCACCTACAATCTAGTACAGTAATATGCAGTACTTTTTCTGTGGCTGCCACTTTACCCTAAATTCTCTGACACAATTGTGTTTCTTTCACTTAATCTAGTGCAGTTAATAAAAGAGGAGCCAGCAAGGAGGAGACCTACTGGCGAGAAATCAACGCAGCGATGGCTCTCACAAACCTCGCACAAGGAAAGGACAAGCTTCAGGGGACAACCAGCTGCATCATCCAGAAATCCTCACACATATCAGAAGTGAAGACTGTCAAAGTGCCACTAATTCAGCAATATCAATGACTCTGACTTGTCTGCACACCAAGAACTGAACACTCTGGGCTAGTCACTGCTACAAGCATGTTTTGCCTTAGAACTTTAATGGACTGTTCTGACCAGCCCTGCGAGACTTGGAACAGCAAGCTCCAATGGACATGTACATTTTGTTGTCTTACGTTAAAAAAAAAAATCAAAATACTAACTTATTTTATGCCACGGGAGCATAAATATTCTGCTTTCAAGTAAATTTGTTTGCCTTGCTATTACCATATGTGCCTTGCAGAAATAAGCTAGAACGTGGGCATAATGTAACATATTTATGCCTTAAATTATGAATGCCATAATGCTTTGTCTTCTTGTATTTAATCTTGGACTTCTTGCCGTCGGGTTAAAGTAAAAACTACCTGAATGCAAAGTGAACTTATCATGATTTTTTTGCTGAAAAAGGGAATAGTGCACAGCATTGTACTGACTGATGTTTTTGTAAAGACTGGGGTATATCGATGACCAGCTTAAAAAATACAAAGCACTTGAACACGGACTGGAGTTGATAAAAAATAGCCTTTTTTCCAGAAGCCTTTCTTATTGAATCAGGAGAATATAATAAAACCAAAAGACGTTTGTTACATTGTGAAAGTTTGTATTGTTGGTGTTAAAAATGCTTAATATACTTTATACTTAATGACAAAACTACGACCATTCCAGCAGGCATGGCCACTGTGTACACAGTCTGGTACATCTTCCTTTCCACACTTCCACCTACTCTTCCACATATAGATGTGTATGATCCTGGAAGATTAGCAAGATGAGCCAGGTGATGCCATATACTGGGCTACACAATGCACTATGATATCATCATAACATAAGATTTACAATCACATATACTTATAGGAGGCCTTCTGAATGGTATCAAGTAGCCAGACAGGCAAACCTTGTAGGCCTCTCTTCATATACCAGTATTCTATATTAATATTTGTATTCTCTGAGAATCTGATGTATTACACGAGTGAGTGAATGGATGGCTCTACCTGTCATAGTTTTACATCAATTTGAATGATGTACATGTTTCAGGTATTTATAGACAAATAGTAAGCAGTCCTATTACAATAAGCAAATCTGTACTTTGACCATGCAGTGCTAAGCAACAGGTTTGCTGTCATGCCATCTGGCCCTGCTGGGAGTGAAGGAAAGGCAAGTATTTTCTATACTTGCCTTTCCTTCACTCCCCCGCTGTTCCATTCAGCCGCAGGGAGTAAAGAAAATACCCCGTACGTCCACGTATAGATGAGCATGTAAATTACTCCATGTGGTAGCACTGGGCCAGTCATCATAGACATGTGTAAACTACCGCTTGAGCTACTCATAGTTTACTCAGAGCCTTTTTCTGCTTCTAGTGGCTGAATGGACCAGTGGGGAGCAAAGGAAAAGTGAATATATTCTGCCAAGAAGGAAGGCATTAACGTGTACCTGTTGCTTTACCCTAATTGTAGACATTGAAAAGAAGTTTTCTATTGGACTTTGAGGGATTCAGTAATGCCTTCATGCACATAAATATTAAAGCCATACTTTATTATCCATTCTAACAAGGGCGCCCACTTTCCTCGCTCTCTCTCTCATGGCTGTCATTCCTCGTTTTCTCTCCTGGCTGTCTCTCCTCTCTCTCCTGGCTGTCTCTCCTGGCTGTCTTTCCTCGCTCTCTCTCTCCTGGCTGTCATTCCTCGTTTTCTCTCCTGGCTGTCTCTCCTCTTTCTCTTTCCTGGCAGTCTCTCCCCGCTCTCTCTCCTGGCTCACCTTGCTGTATTTTGCAAACAGTGCAGTGCAACAGGCTGTGTAAACTAATATTCTTTGATGTAATACATAGCACTTCAACCACCAGTGTCCACCAGAAAGGAGTCAGGGAGCTTGGCTCAGCAGACTCAGGCTAATAGGTAATCATGTGTGCACAGCGAAATAAATATACCAAAATGGAATAAAGGGGCCACCATTCACACCCTTCGTGATCTACAAACATCAGCTTTGAGAGCTACTGGTAGATCACGATCTACCTAATGGGCACCCCTGCATTATAAAATCACAAAAATCTTCAGCATATGTTACTTGTGTATAAAAGTCCACTGATGTATGAAAACAACAACCATCTCCTTCTTCTATACATCAGTCAGCTGTTATACACTGCTAACATATGATGAGAATTGTTTAAATATTATCATGGATAATAAAGTATGGTTTTAATATTTATGTGTATGAAGGTAATTCTTGGATACCTCAGAAGTCCAACAGCATACTTCTTTTCAATGTCTATAAATATAAAGTTGCATGTAGTACCTTTAGGCCTCATTCACATTGGAATTGGCCTGCACGTACAGCTCCCAGGAAGGACAGGTGCTGCGTGTGATTAGTACGCAGCCTCTATCCTTCTCTATGGAGTACGCGGCTGTACGTCCCCCTACGCTCACCTCCACTGCAGGTCCGTAGGGGTGCATGTTTCCTGGCTCGGACGCAGACAGGATCCATCCGGACGTGCAGGGTGGGTGAGCGTAGGGTGACGTACGGCCACGTAGTCCCATAAAGAAGGGCGGGGGCTGCGTACTAATCACACGCAGCACCTGTCCTTCCCGGGAGCTGCTCGGTACGGCCCTGCACGCAGCATGGAGCTGTACGTGCAGGCCGATTCCAGTGTGAATGAGGGCTTAAAAGAATTTGTTTATATTATGCTTAATCTTATGATTTATCATGATTAGACAAAGTACACGTTTAAAGTGTATTTCCACTTTTGCATTCAAATTTGGGAAAACCCCTCTATGTGTTTGTTGTGTGTATCTAGTCACACAGCATACTGAAATATATATATATTTTTTATAAATTTCTCTTACTTATTAGATGTTTTGTTGCAGCAGGCAGCGTTGCTTTTTCCAGGTTTTTCTCAGCCCTCAACAGTGATCTGTCCTAATAAAAACACTTAGGGCTGAAATTCGAAGATTGTGTTTCTCTCATTAACTTCATTAATATTTGATTGCAGAAGCCAGGGTTGTAATCCTTTATCCCCTCACAGCCCCTCCTAAGATTACAAAAGGAAAAACAAGTAGAAATTTTAACCGTTAAGAAGCCAAAAACCCTAACCCAAGTAAAAGCAATTTAAACTGCATGAAGTATTTTTTAGCTTTTGCTATGTGAATGTGAACACGTAACAAATATAAAATAGATGTTATCCCAATTTGGCTGTGAAAGTGGAAATAAACTTTAAGGAGGTGTGCAGCATTGCAGCATCTACATTTGCTACTTCGAGGCACCTGATTTGCACATGGTTGTTCTAGATAGTGACTTACTATATACTGAAGTCAGGATAAGGATGATAATCCCAGAGCCTTTAAAATCACGTCAGCAGTGGCAGCTTCCATATCTTCACCCTCACTTATTTCTAAGGAAATTCCTAATGAAATCTGTTCTTAGAGAATCTACCTTCTGTGTCATTGACTCCTAACCAAGTATTGTAATCAGGATTTCTGACTTCCCTCTGACTTTCTAATTTGCATGTTTGGTCTGGGTCAGTGACTCTGGATATACTGGAGCCTGGGAAGCCGGCAAAGCATTTTCAGAAGGATATCAACTCATTCCACTGTCTTTATCTTCTGACAGGTGTTCTTGAAAATTTGCTTTTATATGTTGCCCCAACATAACATATCCATTGTCCATTTTGGGTGCGTATCTAATATGTATTCAAATACAGCCAGTCACAAGTTTCAAGTGAAGTTATTGTATTGAAACATTGGTTAAATCAAAGAATAAATTATGTAATTTTGTAGCTCACAAAAGTGTTGATATGTAAATGTATCCGGACTTGCAACTCTTCTCTTTAATTCAGACATTCCCCTCTGCAACACAAATATGTAAAATGAGGGGACTTGATCAAAACTGGAGCAGACAAAATCTGGAGCAGCTGCGCACCGCAACCAATCAGCTTATCTTTTCAGTTTGTTCACTTAAAATTTGAAAAAGAAACAGAAAAGCTGATTGGTTGCCATGCATAGCTGCTCCAGATTTTGTCTGCTCCAGTTTTGATAAATCCCCCTCACTGTGTTGTCTTCTCTACCCTGACACACAAATTGGCAGAACCATCTTTCCAGCCTCCTGAAGGTAGGAACACACTTCTGTCTCACAGTAGTGATAAGCAAGAAGCATATGAGGCCACCCCTATAATAGAGAGCCACCCTTTTTGTATCTGACACATTCACAATGCACAGAGCCAAGCATACTTACCTTTAGCTTCTAAAAACTTAAAAGCAAACTATGGGGTAAGTGGTTTTCCTCATAGATCTCTTAAGGGTCACGGGAGGACATATACTAGCATCCTCCCGTGACCCAAAGCTCAATATATCACGAGCTACAGCTCACGGTATACTGAGACCGCCGCTGACGGGACGGATCCCGACAATGCTGTCGAGATCCACCCAGCTGCGAGAATGACAGCTATCTAGAGGCAGAGCCAGCTGTACCCGCCCCTCCCCCTTCTGTTCCTCCAGTCAGCACTGGAGGATCGGAGCGGGGGGCAGTCACCGCTCTCTGCAGGGAGATGATCGAGAAGTGAGTGACGGTATGTGTTCGCTCACTTCCCGATCTATTGAGCCGACATTTGGCACACGTCAGCTCGAACTATGAGGAAGAGTGATTTTCACTCACCTCATAGTTCTCCTTTAAGTTATACATCTCCCCAGGTTATAGGTAAAGTTTGCTACACTTAATCTCCTTAACACTAATCAACAATATGTAGTGTGAGAGTCTTCCTAAACAATATATTTGATCAACTTTCATTTAAGAGTGCTTGTGTTTTTTTTTCTACATTAGTTTCTTTTTTACGGTTAAACCTAAAATGTATCTTACTATTTTAGACATTTTTGTAAAGTAGCGGAGCAATGGTAATAAGCACAAAAGGGGCGCCTTTCCTGGTGCAGATCACTTTTATTTCAATAAACATAAATAAAAAACCGAATCATACTCACAAACATGAGTGTCACAAAGTCATGAGGTGAGGACTGACAAGCAGTGAGATGTCCACTAGGTGATACCAGTGTAGTGGTGACGTTAACGCGTTTCCGGGGCACGCCCCCTTCATCAGAACATGCTTGTCAGTCCTCACCTCATGACTTTGTGACACTCATGTTTGTGAGTATGATTCGGTTTTTTATTGATGTTTATTGAAATAAAAGTGATCTGCACCAGGACAGGCGCCCCTTTTGTGCTTATTTCCTAGATTTCCAGCTTTCCCGGCTTCTTTGGGGCAGCATCCTGCAGTATGCCTATAAGCAATTCCCATTAAGGACTGACAGTCCGTGGCGCTTCACTGTTTTTACTTTGTTAGCAGAGCAATGGTGATCTAGCTATTTTTAATCTTGATATCTTACATATTTAAATATACATTTGGCAGGAGCACAGTGACAAGTGAATTGGTTCACCCAAAAATACAATTTTCCAATTAATCAGGCCAATCCAGTTTAGATTAGTTACATCAAATGTGGGGATATAACTTGCC